TCGACTGCGGGTTGCGCCGAATCCTTTGGAGGCATGCCTGACACGGCACCGAGCTTTGGTAACTACCAGTGATTTTGCAGGTTTGTATGGTTGCAGATTCACTTGTTGACCACCTCCCCTTCCTAGAAAATGCAAAATGCATGTTGTCCCAATCCGCGGGGTGTACGTTCTTGCCCATCAATGTTTTTTCGTGTGCCCGCTAGGATCGCTAGTGAGGCGCTACTGGCTTTCCTGCGCTGCGTGCAGCTGAATGAGCTCGCCGAAGTGATGACGTCACGCACAGAGCCGCTGGAGGACCTCGGCCGCTATTCAGAATTCGTTATTGCCATGTCAAGGCAGGTGTATTTCACGATATCATTCGAATGTGGTTTTATCTCTCATACTGTGTCAAGCCCATCTAATAATGCATATAACATAATTTGCATCAGTTGAATATAACATCGGTCATTACGTGTTACGGTGTGCTAAGGCAGGATATAACGCTTATGATAATAGCACACCCGAATGTGCATCCAAGACTCTCGAATTTTGTCTTGGAGATGTAACCGAAGTAACTGATTGTTTGGTGTGGCCTTGTCGTGGACCATCGGACAGTCGGCCCTGGTCTGAGCGACTGTTTGGTGTGGCCTTGTGGTGGACCATCGGACAGTCGGCCCCGGTCTGAGCACAGACTGTGGTCTGAAGCCCTGCGACTCTGGCCGGCCGCTGTTCGCCGCCCCCCTGCCCTGTTCGACTGCTGACCGTCCGCTCCCGTCCGCTGTAGCACGGTGGTGACTCAAAGTCCGCACTTGATGGCGCCTCTGGTCAGATGTCTGGCTTCCGACCTCTCCAGCATGTACGAGGCCCAGAGGATCGCCGCCGTCGCCTTCTACGGAGAGGTGAGCCGCCCGTGGTCCCGCTGAACTCGCGCTGCTCAGGGAAAGGCACGAGGCGGCCTGCACTCTGGCTCTGCCCAGTCGGCTGTGCTGCTGACGGTCCGTCTGCGATGTGCTGTCAGTCTTTCGCCGCCGCACATGTGAACGGGCGGCTCTGGTGATGGACATACGGCGCAGGTCGGGTGGCGGCGCACGGCGTCGGTCGCTGCTGGGAGCGCGCCGCTGTGCGTGTCGACGGCTGACCGGTGCCGACGTTCCGCAGCTGGTGCGGCACCGGTGCGCCGGCAGCGTGCCGCTGATCGAGACGCTGCTCAACAGCCTTGTGTCGCGTCTGATCGACTCGTCGCCGGTGGTGCGCCGACTTTGTCTGCTGGGGCTCGGCCACATCAGCTGCCTGGGACACCCGGGGGTGAGTACAGGGTTCACATCAGCTGCCTGGGACATCCGGGGGTGAGTGCAGGGACCACATCAGCTGCTTGAGACACCCGGGGATGAGTGCAGGGGCCACATCAGCTGCCTGTGACGCCCGGGGGTGAGTACAGGTGCCACATCAGCTGCTTGGGACACCCGGGGGTGAGTACAGGGGTCTATTCAGCCGCCTGGGACACGGGGGTGTACGGTAAGATCTCCCGGTAGCAGATCTTATCGTATGCCTGCCGTGTCCTCCCTCTAACATCAGCAGGACGGTACCCGACCAGCTCCTCTTGCTCAGCACATTTTTGTGACAAAAGACGATCTTTTGAAGTGGCTATTGCTGCGACCAGCTGAGGGCGACGCCGCTTGCATGGCTTGCATGACCTCTCCGGCACTCGTCAGGGCCGTGGACACACTAACGCCGCCGACCCGGTGGATGGATGAACTGTGGTCCGTCTCAGTGTCTTGTGCCGTTCGCCCCCCCCCCCTTCCTGTCGCTCTCCGGTGGTATTGGGGGGACGGGGGGCACTTATGTGACGCTTGTGTTGCACGTATGTGACGCTCTGCTCTGTGTGCTTGCGTGATATCCTGCTGTTGTGCGCGCTTGTGAGGCGCTCTTCTGGGCGCTGACGGCTTGCGTTCTTTTCAGGGCTTCGGTGTGGATTACACGCAGCTGGTGAGTGTGCGCTCGCCGCAGAGAGACCCTCTGTGCTCCGCATTTTCCCGACAAGCCCTGTCCGTGATCACGCGACGCCAGGTACCCATAACAGTCCTTTCAACACACTTCTTGCAACGAGTTTTATATGCTGCACATTGCAGCGTTGAGTGGCTACGCAAAGTGGCCACAACATTGAAAAGCATTTGTGGTTCGGTGGTAAAGCCATGATGATGGCAGCCCGTGCGGTAAAGCCATGGTGATGGCAGTCCGTGCTCTGCCGTGGTCATCGGAATGAGAGAGCGTTCGGACCAGCGCCCACTGCCGACAAAATACCAGCACGTCGGCGACGGCGAACGGCGCGGTGGTGTGAGGCACGAGAACCAGGGTGGAAGGACTCCAGTTCGCGGAAGCCGGGAAGTGGGCAACCAAGTGCGAAAGTTGGGCGGGGGTCCCAAACGGCGAGCGACGTGTGCACGGCGTGCGCAATGGAAACTAGGCCGAGACATTGAGGAGACCAGTTTCATTAAGCAAATGTCATCTAGTTAAAGAGTAGTGAATCATTGGAATGGGTCGACAAACGAAGTAGTAGGGAGTCCCTCTCTAGCAACATTAAAACACAATTGGACAAATTCTATCAGTCTAAAGATCTCATTTATAGCTAAATTCATGCTGGTCGGGTGGTAAGATTAGATGCTGGTCAGGTGGTAAGATTAGTTTCGAGGATGTGCACGGAACCTGAGCTAGGTCAACCTCGGTGGGCCCTTGTGGCTCTGTTGGCGAAATGCATATGTCTTTATGTATTGCGGTACGACACGTGTACTTCTTGCAGATTAAAAACGTCATGACTTTTGCGCTGATTGAACACACTGCCTGATCTTCGGAGTGCTTGTGTTCACTAGTCTTACGATAATGTGCTGCTTCATTGACTTAGGTTTCCTCACGGTCTCCAATGCTTGAAATCGGAGATGTATTTTATCAATGCTTCCAGTTGTGTATGTTCTACGCTGCATCTCGTTAAGTGCTTCTCGATGAAAAACTATCGGTATTGATGTCTATAATTTGAAAGATGTGAAAAGTGTGTTTTCGGTGTTTGGGACGATTTGAATGTGAAATTTCTAAGATGGTTTTGCCGGAAATGATCAAACTAAGCATTTTTCGAAAGTCATCGGATGAACTTAAGATGCTGCCATCGGTCGTTATAAAATATGTGTTTCTTGTCGATGAATGTCGAAAGTAATGGTAAGTGAAAGAAACAAACCGGATATGAAGTAGGAAAGGGAAAAACGAATTTAAAAAATTGCTTGTCGTTAGGTAAGAAAGCTTATGTCGTGGTTTGGTCAAAGTTAGATTTCCACCGGATCAGAAAAATGGTGCTTTTTATAAAAGCTATTGGAAAATATTACACTGCTGTCTGAAGCGGGGTTCGTGATGACACTTCACGAGAAAACCCATTGTTTTGTCCAATCATTTTCAGGGCAAAATTCATTGTTTCGAACGTAGTAACTGAGAATGGGCTTCAAAACGGTAGGTGCTTGGTGCGCTTCTCTATGTTTGTATCATCGATTTTGCGACATCACGAAGCATGCAGCGCAACCTTTTTTAGGAAAGCGCCACGCAAAAGCGTGCGAATCTCGCCTGAGCGGCTGGGGCATCCTCCGGGTCCGTGAGCGGCGCGTCATGTCCGCTGCGTGGTGCGTGCCAGGTGGACCTGTTCGCGCAGCAAGTGATGTCGGCCATGCTGGGCGGCCTGGACGACCGCGAGGACGTGGGCGGCAGCATCCCACTGCAGGCGATGACGGCCCTGGCCGGCGTGCTGCGCGTCGTCTCGGAGCAGCAGGTCCAGCACACGCTCATCCCCATCACCATACGGATACGGGTCTACTTCGAAAGTGTGAGTCACCACACCGGGCACGGTGGGGGCGGGGGGGGGGGGGTAGCGGGGATGGACACTCCGAGGGTTCACCCGAGAGTGGGCTGGCGCTCCTGGCGCGAGGAGGAAGGAGGTGGCGTAACCGGGATCTACGTGGTGGTTTAGGCAGTGTGCTAGGCACGAAGGCGGCTCACTGGGCCTTTGTTAACTTACGGTCTCTGCCAACGGGGCACGGAGATGCGAGGTGGTTTGCTGATGGGTGTGGCCATGGCATCGGAATAGCCGGTCAGCAGCTTTTCCGATGCTTGACCGTTGAGTAGGACGTACTGTGGCATTGACGGATTGGTCGGCATTATTATCACGTCTGTGATAGCGTCGTTCGTGATTTGGCTCTGGTTGTGGCGTCGGCTCTGACGCCACCGTAACGTCTCTGTCCACGTCTCGACGTCAGTGGAACCACGCCGCGACCTGACCGCCCGCCAGGCTCACGCTGTCGCTGGATTAGTTCTTGCGTTGTCCGCAGGAGTCGTTGGCGCTGCGATCGACGTCGTTTGGCCTGTTCGGCGCCTGCTCAGCCTTCTGCCAGGGCCCACTGCGCGAACCAGTACATGGAGCGGACGCACAACAACCTGATCTCGCTGCTGATCCACCTCAACGACCCCGAGACCGGACGTGGTGCTGGTGAGGCTAACAGCGAGACAGGCGGGCTCGTCGCCGACCAGGTGGGACCGCGCGCCGTGCCACGCCCGGCTGGTGCTGGTGCTGGTGCTGGTCCCCAGCCGGTGGCCGTGTTTGTGGGCGTTGCCTGGCGGGTGTCGTGATCGCGCTGCGGTCGGCATCCCCAAGCAGGCTGGCAGTTTGAGATTGGTTTCACCAATCTGCCGGATGTATTTCGATTATCGATATCGCCAATGCCTTAGATAGCTCATCAGCGCATTGAAGAAGCTCATAAGGGCATAAATGCGTTGACATATCCGTGAGACCACCATACCCCCCGCCATCGATGTAACTGGGGGTCTGCCGTGGTCCGGATCTCGAGACTGACCCCTGGCGGGTTGGTGCAGGTTGGTCGCCAGCAGAGCCCGCGTGGCGAGGCTGGGTGGTGTCTGTCGCCTCCCCTCAGCATATGCTGATCAGGCTTGTGCACCCGTTGTGGACGCGCCTATTTTTTAGTGCTTAAAGGGGGTGTTCCGCATTTATGTGGAGGGTTTGAACTGAACAGCTATCATGAAGATCACTCGGTGCAGTTCACAGCCCTGCCCATCTAAAAACCTAAACACTTTAGCTTCCGGGCTACACGCCCACGAATATGGGGAGAGTATTTCAAGGTCACCTTGGCATTCATGACGCCACGATAGCGTCATTGAAATCCTGTTATTGCATTAACTATGCAGCCATCAAGACCAAAGACATGTATTTGTCGAGTCTTCATACCCACCGTTCAAGAGCACGATTTCCAAACATATTACGGCCGTCAATTGGCTCCCAATCACTGTTGTGCAAGGTGATGTAATCAAACAATGACGTATTGAGGAACATGTTTGCTAGACAGAGAAATTATGTCGTCTAGAGCAGTCTTTTTCACTTCAAGGTGTACCAAAAGTTATAACTGGGCTTGTTTCATCACATCTGTACTTGCTTCAATATCTTCTACTGTGAAACGTTCCCTTTGATTACAAATGTCATATGAGATGAGGCTTTTTTGTCTTAATTCACCATGAGCGGTCTCATTAGCCCGAAAGTTGCGTTAATGCAAGTCATTGGGGCAAAGAGAAGCATGTCAGTAAAAGCTTGTGTCATTTAATGAAACATGTGCTCCTCATGCTTGGAGTTCCTTTTCATGTTCATATCGCTTCTCACATTTTTTAGAAACTTCAACCCAACCCAACTCATCATTACATTTTGATAAATATATGTGTTGTGACAAAGATGTAGCATCTTGACAAGAAACAGAATGGGATCAATTCAATGTGCCACTATCGATTTCACATTCGTGCCGACTGGGTTACCCAACGCGCTAAGGCCTCTACCGCTTCAGGTCTATAATGCAGTCATATCACCCCATCATGTGACCGGGGTTTGGGTGACGGCTACTGCAGGCATGCAAGACCAGTCTGCGGCAGGTGGGGCCGCTTCTCGAGGCGCGGGCAATCAATCGCCATGTTCCAGAAGCACCTGATCGATGAGGGCAAACTGCAGTACGCCAACTTCGTCAGTGATCTCTCCAAACTGATGGTACGTCCTCGGACTCCTTCTCCGAGTCATTGGCATCTTACACGTATGATTTGTCATCGAAGCTGTGTATTTTGAGGTAGGCTGGTGAGTGAGAAACTTCCAAACGTATGCATTGTGTCAGCCTCTGTTCTCTTCGTCGTAAAAGGTGATAATTGTGGGGATGTGAATGGTTGATTAGCCGAAAACATCCCAGATTAAAGCCTGGCGGGCAGGTGCGACCCCCTGTCCTCTCTGCGGGCTTGTGCGCATGTGGGTGGCGCAGCCAGTGCCCCGCCGCCCTCACTCGCGCCGCCGTCGTCAGCGGCCAGCGTCGCCTCCGTGGCGGCGGTGGTGGTGGCGGCTGGTCTGATGGGGGTTGGTCGCGTCGGGCAGACGGTGACGTGCCCTGCCTCTCTACCTCCGCCCCCTCCCCTCCCCCGGCACGGCGCCGTGACGCCGGCGCTGGCCTGCCATCCTTAGGTGCAGGAGCTGGAGCCCAAGCTGCACATGTACATTATGAGTCTGCTGGCGCACTTCCGGTCTGGATGGACGGAGCTGAAGGGCACTGCGGCGCTGTTGGTCGGTGAGTGGACGACCTGACCGCAGGATACCCGCGGCCTGTCTCTGATCGGCGGTCTCGAGGTGCGGACTGACGGCGGCACAGCACTCACCCGCTGCTGAGTGCTGAGCAGAATCGGCAATCACCAGGGTTTGCTAGGGGGGGGGGGGGGCTGCTGTCACAGCGGCGGGTTGGCATCGCGTTTTGGTATAATGAGAGTTACTTGAAGACATCGAGCAACGATTTTTTTGCATGTAATGAATGGAATGTCACTGGTTTAGGCCTGAGGAAGGTTTGGAACCAGAGTGCCACGGAGACAGCCGTGATGTGTGATCCGCTATACTCATCGATTGCGGACCAGGCTACATATAGATAGGAACAGTGGAGATGAGGTACTGACGTCACTGGAATATGTGATTTCTTGTGACCGATGTAGCGAAGGGAACCTGCTTAGTGACCAATCATTTGATGACCAATGAACGCATCCACTTGACAAATACCATGCTGTTGGAACACTACTCCGTATTCTACGCGGAGATGAGGTCATTGTGCTCCAGAGCCGCTATCGTTGGAGTTCACTGAGGATACCAGCACGCTGGCGTTCCTAGCCGTAGTAAATGTCCGCCAGAAGCCGAGCACAGTGTGACGTAAGGACCACACGAAATACTGTAATAATACTATATACTGAATAATACTTATAATACAGGCTGAATAATACAGGGCTGATATTCCCGCGAGTGTTGTGCGGTACAGCGTACTCCGGGCACGGGCCGGCCCGCGTCCGGCTGTCGCCAGTCGGCGCGCCGTGCAGAGCCGACTGCCAGTGCCCCGGTGTCGGTGCTGTGCACCGCCGCAGAGGCGACGTGCGCCAGGAACGGGCGTGATTCAGTGTTGTGCGCCCCGCTAGCGCCACCTGTCATACTCTTCCTGGCATCGCGTCCCTCGCATGCAGTGAGCGCAATTCGCCTGTGTGCCAGCCGTCGGGGCGGGTCTTACAGGGACCGTCGGGTCGTTTGCGTAGTGGCCTCGTGACCGGGCGCTGGAGTGTGCCAGGTCCCTGACCGGCGCCGGCCGCCGGCAGCGTTCCTGCTCTGCAACCTGCCGACCGAGCACCGCCAGAATGTGAAGGTGCAGCCCGTCTGCTCGGGCCTCAAGAAGCTGCTGCAAGACCCCGACTGGCACGTGCGCTCGCAGGCGGCCAAGGCCATCTCCCTACTGCACGACTACTGAGGCCGCCCGGCGTCCGCCGCCGGGGCTGGTGGTGCAGGACGGCGCTGGTGCACGGCAGCGCAGACGGCTCCGCCGCGCTCGCGTGCTGCACGGCCTGGCAGCCGTGGCAGCACCACCGCCTCCTGGTGGCGGGCTGGTTCGCTCGGCTTCGCGATCGGCGCGCTGCGCGAATGGTAGCGGGCTGGCGGCGGGCGGTGAGCCGCGCTTCCTGGTCGGCGGGACCGTGGGCGGGACTTGTGCCCGGGTTAGGGCGTGGCCAGAGCTCAGTTACGGTCGCGTGTCACGTGCGCCCGCGGGCGAAGCGTGCATCTTCGACTGGCTTATGTTTATCAAACGGAAACGTTCCGAGGACTGTCCATTCCGCATATCTGAAACGCGAAGTTTCATGCGTGACCATCAGGCCTGCCCCGGGTGTAGGGAGTATGCAGCTGTATCAGCCTTCTCCGCCCGTCCACGGCGGTATTTCTTGCCGTTTGGGGCTGGCAGCTGTGGTTGACAATCCCCCCGACAGGTGGCAGGGGCGGCTCGGCCCGGCGGCTGCAGTGCCTTTCCCCGAGCACTGATTGTGTCCGGGTTTCCTTTCAGTGCAATGAGACATTCCCGAAGTGGCGGCATTATCTTTTTGCGTTGCCATCGTGTGTCCCGCCGGCTGGGAACCGTGTGGCAACACACATACATACTACGCGAATGTAAAGGCAGCCCGTGCGCCACTATCCAGTGTGACGTTCCGGCGTTATTATCGCTGAGTGATAGTGTTTTATTGATATCTGAGGCGTAATAAACATGAATTCTGGCGGTTAACGACGTGTTCCGTACCATTGGCCGTTTTCTCACGAGCGCCGTACGGCACTGCGAAACGCAGTGTTCGACATGGTACCAAACGAAGTGGCAAGGAAACAGCTGTAAGTGCCGTTCAGCTGCAGTGTCTCAGCTGTGTACAACGGCAGGGTGCGCTCCGCGATCTCAAGCCTGATAACTGCCAAACGACTCCACAAGGGTGCAAAAGGGCCTCGGCCATCAGTGCCTTCCTTATGTCACAAGACGTCACATTGCATAATCAATGAATAGCTCTACAAGCACATTGGATCGCACGCTGTAATACCTCCACCCTGTCCTGGGTGAGGGGCTGAGAAGAAGAGCTTAAAGCACGCCGCATTCGGTGCCCTGTCTGTGGGCACAATGTCATCTAGCACCAAGAGAACTGTGCTGAGAATGTATCTATGCAGACTGGCCACTGCACCGGTTAATGGCTCGGTCGTAAAGGTAAGCAGATAGTCCAGACAAGACAACATAAAAAAGAATACCGACACAAGAAGAACTTGATACCTCTTGAGTTCTAGCGCATTACTGACGTAATGTTTTGACAACACGGATAAAATGGTGCAATGATGCGCACTAGAGAATCCATGGACCTGCCTCTGTTTTTTTTGTCGTATTCGTAACATGAATGGAGCTGATGAGCGCAGCAGGAGAGTACTACTGTAGGTGACGGTCAGAAATGGTGGAATCGCCCATGCGCAGTCACGCTGCTCCCCGTTTAGATCACCTTCAAAGCCTTACTCCACGTCAGTGACCTTTCAATAGGGTTGTTTAATGTTGAAATGACAGTGTCATTAGTGGTTTGAATGCGCCGGTATTGTATGAGGAGTAAATGAGGTAAATGTGACAATTAATATATGGTCAGATTTTTATTGATCTTGGGTGGCTGGACCAGACTTGTTTAGTCAACCCTGTACCAAAAGAAATCACCGGTTCCAACCCTGAGTTTTATGGCTCTCATCTTTTTACATCACTAAGTTTGGGCATGTTAGATGCATGTGTGATACGGACTGACGGTGAGAAACACGACCCTGGCATGTTCTGGCGTAAGGTGATGTTGAGTGATGTGTAAAGACCAAATGCATTTAGTCATAACATATCTGAGAGTTTGGACCACACCATGTGACCAGGTGACTTTCGGTCACAGTCCTTGTCAGAGTTAGCTTTGATTTGTGAATATGCCTAGTTACCAATGGCTTTTCAATAGAAACGAAGCCTTCCCAAATTGTCAACTAGTTAAGTGTTGTAACCTAGAATTGGAAACTATGTGCAAATTATGACCAATCATCTTGTCTTGCATTTCACTGAAAAGACAATTGATACTGTCAGACTGTTGCTGACATCCTTCATAGGTTGACATGATGCAAGATTATGTCTTGCAACAAGGGCATAATTTTTCCCCCAAGGTATTCCAACAAATGGGTTACTCCCCAGATTTCGCCCAGCCCCTTATCAAATTGGGGGGGGGGGGCAGTCTCCCCCTCCCTTAACTGAAAGAGACATTACACACCTGGTTTGCAACACGACTAGTGGCTCCATTTTTGTCGTAAGGTGTGGGTGGCACACAGGTAGGTGTGCTGGAATGCTTCTTGAAGTGTGGTAGAGGTACGAAAATGCCCCCTACTATCCAAGGCTTTATTTAGCTCGATTGAGCCTTGCCTGCCAGAAGGCGCCTGAAAACAAATGTGAACGATGAATACCAGCAACCATATCACAAAACCACCACATTTTCCCCGCCTGCCAGTCTACGCATCACATAACAACAGAAACACTGGAGCACTTCAGCTTGCGCTTTGACCCTGTATCGCGATTAGCGGCGGATGGCTCCGGTGACAGTGCGCGTTCCCCAGCCACTCGAGCGTTACCCACACTTTACGCGTTCGTAGCCGCGTGATGACCATTTACATGACGTAGTCCCGGAAACGCTCGGTCACGCTTGTTTTACGAGAGGAGCGTCACGATTGAATCACCAGAACGGACTCGGGCGGAGACGCGTCTGTACCTGCAGGCACTGGTGGCAGACATGGGGGTGCTGCAGAAGGCACCTCTGTCACGTAGTCGGGCACAGATGGGGCATCAACAAGCGGAACATTCAGTGCAGTTGGCACCTCTGAAAGTGAAATGTCTGCAGGGGCAGTTGTTTGATGCTGGGCCGGACGGGCGTCCCCCGCGCGGGGCTCATGTCTGAGCGAGACAATGGTTTCATGACCGTCAGCTAGACGAACATGGTGTACTAAGGGTTTTCCTCCAACAACTCGACCTCATTAACAGGAGGTTCGTACTTACTTCTACGCACATGCCTCTTGACGAGAACTCTGCCCGAGGTAGCCACCCACGTCGGCACGGAATGACCACTGGTCGAGCGACGCTGATATTGAAAAAGACGTCCGTGCGGCGTAACATTGGTGGTGGTAAGCGAGAAGTTACGGATGGAGTTCAGGGCATCAGAAAGCATGGGCGTGGGAACGTTTCAAAAAGTGGGAGGGGGGGCAACCACAGGGTGTATTCAGGAACTATTTCTGGAAAGTGAGCCCGATGGCCGGGGGGGGGGGGAGGGGTAAGGATGGAGGTTGTCGCCGCTCTTTATTCAAATGTCATGGCTGTTATGCTAGATACGCATCTAGAGCTGTTTATCACTGGTGCACGATCTTGCCTATGCGACTCATCTGTCATTTGGCAATAAGGCTATCCAGCTTCCCTAGGTTATTCGTTCATTTTACCATCGTCTTTCCTGGGGAGGCGAAGTTCCACGAGTGGGTAGGCGTTTGGGGTATTTAAGGGAGCATCTGCACCCACAGTGTGGATGAAGAAATACGGCCTGGCTATAGGCTGGTGAGAATTTTGGAAGTGGATCGATGGCTCACAGTACGACAGATTTTTCATGCGGCTTCACTTCGCTGGCTGCTTTTCAAGAGATACGAATTATCGCAGCATTTTAGGCGGAAACAAATTCGGGAGCTTTAAATCGCTGGAAACAATGTGACAAAAGCCATGAAACTGGAGTTTCTTTTAAGAATCAAGCCACATAAAAAGGCCAATCTGTCATATGTTCCTTATCTGGGCCCTGCTCCTGTCCGCCATCGGTGGGCACTGTCCTGGCCCGGATGTATCCCGCATGACTGACTGCGAACTGATCGTATGGCTGCTTTGCTGCATGCTTTTGAACCAGCGTTACTACCACATGGTGTATGAAACACCTGTTGGACACCTGCAACAGTATCTTTTTTCGACTTATATTAAATCACACCACACCATCGCAAAAAAAAACATTCGGGAAGCTATCTGCATTAGGCATGAGTTAGCCCAACGGACACCTCATTGCCCATCATGCAACGTATGCGAGTTGATCTGCTTTTGTGTGTAGGCAGGGGCGCAGCCAGAGCCTTGCCAAGGGTGAACACAAGGTTGACAAAAGCCATCTCATGGTGGCATGGTGGCATCCCCCCAAAAAAATCCCGGATATGGCTTACTTGTTTACAAGTGACACGGTTTTCTTCGTTTTATTTTTATTGTTGCCTTGTATTGTAGAGCAGAAACCAGGAGCTACCGTGAGCTCAATTCTGTCTGTATTTTGAGGTTAAGCTACAGAAATCAGGCGTTGAACAACTGCATGGAAGAAATCACCGGCGGTTATCATAATCACCGGCGCTAATTTACGTGGTTAGTTGGCTCTTTCTAAACCGATAGAATTCAGAAGCTTTGTCAACTTTTTATCTGGGTTCTACAGACATTGAGGACATCGCGAAGGTAAATTATGGATCGATATGTTTGATACAAATTTGGAATGAAAATTTGGTTGCAGATGGAGTGGCCAACAATATGTATTATATGACCAAGCCGAAAATGTTCACCATTCAGTCAGAATCGATAAGTGATATAATTCATTGAGCGTGTTTTTTGACATGCGCGCTCGCAAATCTTAGCAACAAAACCTCGACACCGGGCGTTGCAATCTCCGTGGTCCGCGGAGCGTTGATCCAGTAGCTATTATTTAGTCGTGGCCCACCGGTGGACGAAAACGATGACACTTCTGAAATTATCATCTTTAAACACTGAAATTGACTGGTAATACAAGTTATGTGACGTGATTTTGAGCATGCATGCTCGAAATTTTTAGAAACACAAGCATCGACCACAGGCGTTGCAGTCTCCATAGCACGCGCAGCGTGGGCCTGACATCTAATATTTAGTTGTGGCCAATGGGTGTACAAAAATGACGACGTTTCAGAAAAGCATCCGTGGAAGCTTCATGGCATCCGACCTTACATTTGTAAGGCAGTCTGAGCGCATGTTTCGCGTGCGCGATTTTTAGACCGATTAGAAGAACGGATTGGCCCCTAAAGCACCGCGAAGTGGGGCTGGAAGTTGGTGGTTGAGATGGAAG